GCGTGCCCGGCGGAGGGAAGGCGCTTAGGAAAAAGGCCTGGCTCCCGGAGCCCCGCAGCGCCTCGGACTCCGGCTGTTCTTCGAGGGCTCCCACAAACTCGCGGGGCGCCCTCCAGGCCCCGGGTGCTCAGGGACCAGCGGATGAACCGGCCCCGGCTCCGCAGCCTCCGCGGCTCCGGCCAGCAGGGGTCAGCCCACCCCTCCCGGGCCCCGCGGGCCTCGGGCGGCGAGCGGAGCGGCCGGCGCTGCGCGGCGGGGAGCTCCGCGGGTCCCCGGGGCTGGGGAGCGCGCCCGCTCTCCTCGCCTCGGGCCGCAGGAGCGGACCGGAGGCTGAGCCGGGCCGGGCGGGAAATTGGACCAGAGCTCCAGCCGCCCAGCCGGCCACGGTTGGGAGAGGGCGGTCCAGGCGCCCGCGTCATCCCCCGGCGGCCGGGGCGCCTTTGTCTCGGGGGCCGCTTCCCCGCGCGGGGAGCGCGGCGCCGCCCGCAGTTTGCGGGGCGTCCAGGGGGCGCGGGCGCCGGCCGCACACTTCGCGGCAGAAAACCGGCAACTCGGTCTCTGCAGAGACAGAACGGAAGGGCAGCCGCTCCGACCTCCAGGCTCGGGATCCACGCGGCTCCGGGATCCGAGGCCTGCAGCCACCTCGAGTCGAATTACACCGGCATCTCCGGCGCCTCCATGTGCCCACCTCGCAGAGAGGCTCTGGAGCTCCCTAGTGTGTTTCCCGCGCGGCCCGGGGCCCTAGAACCGCTCCTGTTTTCCGGTTAATGGCGGGGAGGATGGGCAGGGGCTCCGGGCTGCCCGGAACCTGAATCCCCGGGGTTTGCTTTGTTCGCAGAGCGAGGCTGGCTGTCCCCTCTCTGCGCTGGATCGGAGCCATCCACCGCGCCGGCTGCATTAGTCTCTACAGAACCCGGCTGCCGGACCACCTCTCTCTCGTCCGCTGCACAGTGGCTTTTAATGCCCTAGCTGTCTTTGTGCAGATCAGAGTGGAGCAGAACTGAGTGGATGATCAGGGCCAAATACACAAGTTATCTGGATGGTATATAAACTTGCAAACACAGCAGCAGCAGGATTAGTTTCTATCTGGATTATCCAGATAACTCTCCCCATTTCTTGCTCCGGAAGACCCAGTGGAGACACAGGATGCTTTGTCTGAAAGCCAGTGGAGTCGATTGTAGTTTGAGGCCTTGAACCAGACAAATAGTTGCAAAATAGATGCAATCTTTGCCCAGATCAAGAGCTCCAGCGGTGTGCCCTAAATATTTGAGTTGTGTCTCAACCGTGACCTTCTCTTTGGCCAGGAGACCCAAGGATTTGTTTGTCAGCCATTGGGAGGAGATTATGGTGTCTTTCCTTCACTGACACTCCCCCAGTTATTGCGTGGGGGTGGGTGCTGCGTAGACACCACCCAACAGGACCTATTCTCTCTCAGATCTTCAGTATCTCAGAATAAGTCGAGGGAATAAATTAAGAGCCAGTTATTCCTGGCCTCCCTAAATTCCTTTCTTCCTTTTTAGCCAGAAATGTTTTCACGGTTAACTTCCTGTATGGATGTGTCCCCGGATTCATGGGGATTTAGATCCTCCTCTCCCCTTTATGCAGATCCAGGCACAGCCACCCCGTCCCTCCCCCAGCTCATGGCTGCCAGACACTATCGTGTTCCCAGCCTTGCCCCCACTCTGTAGGGCCTTTGTGTGAGTACCCTCAAAGCTTGGGATCATCTTCTTCCTGCCTGAACCCCTCAGCTATCTATACAAGACAGCGGGGATTAGGAGCAAAGGGAAATGAGGTTTGGTTTAAATTTACCAGTTTTACTAGTTGCAGGAGAAAGGAAAGGAAGAGCGACAGAGTTTTCAGGATGGAAGGCGTGGTTTGCAGGCTGGGCTAGGGTGGGGACCCCTGCTATTCCGGAGAGGGCCCAGCAGGGTGGAGGGGGAATTTGGAGGAGACTCTATGATTGGAGCCAGACTGTGAAAATAAGAAACTCAGGGACCAGAGGCTCAGGGGCAGAGGCATAGGGAGGCCGTTCCACCTACAAGGAAGGGGTGAGGTGAAGTTGCAAAGGGCTCATGCACTCAGCTGGAACCCAGACTCTGATCCTGGCCCAGAGAAGGTCACTGGCTGAGAGAAAAGGAGCCAGTTTCTCCAGCTTCAAGTGGTTTTTAGTCCCCTGCCCGATCTTGCAGTGCACAGATATGTTCCCAGAGCAAAGCCATGGAGTCAGGGCCTTGGGGTTGAAGTGTGGACCCACCAAACCCTGCCCCTATCCCACTCTCATCATCCCAGCTCCAGCCTGCTTGTACCCCTGCCCTGGCTTTGCTTCGTGGAGATCCTGTAGCTCAGACTTTCTTTTCCCAGCCCTGCAGGTAGGTAGTCTCAGCCTCCTCCAAGCTGCTCACATTATTTTCACAGCCCAGGACTTCTCAGATATTCCTCTCCTCCTCCCCAGTCTATGGTCCCCCCAATTTTCTCTCCGCTAGTAATTGCTTAGGACTGGAGATGGAAGCTCATCAACAGATCTTGATTGCTCATATATTTTTGTTGCCCCTGAAACGGCTCTTCCTTTATTATTATAATTATTCTTTTTATTATTCACCTGAGCTGGAGAAAATAAAGTGGAAGACAGCTTGAAGGCTGAGGATCCCATTCTCCCTAGGCAGAGGAGACAATGTGTGGGGAACCAATTTAATTTTTTTTCTGAAAAAAAAAAATCACATCATCATACAGTCGTGTTTTAATTAGTATTATTAATATTAATATGATGAAGAAACTCTGTACAAGGACTATATAAAGGGGAAAACGTGCTAAAGACAGCTGTTTGAATAGGAGGGCGCACTACAGAGAGCTGGGGAGGGAGAGAAGAGAGGTTGTCTACCCACAGGGACTGCACAAGGTACTAGCAACAGACACAGAGAACAGGACACAGATTGACAGAGTTCACAGAAGTCAATTTTAAAGCAACAGGAAGAGAATATTGCATATCTTTCTCCTTCCACCCTTTGGGAATCTTCTGGCCTCTCTTCTGTATTGGGCAGTGGGAGTCAGGCTGGGATGATGCAGATGGATTCCAGCACCCCAGGGCCCTTGAGGTCACAGGAGGGCCTGCATGAAGAGGTACATGGGTGACCAGGCAAAGGGGAGAGTGCCTCAGACCCAGCAGCAGCAGACAGCTGCAAACTCGCACATAAGGGGAACAAGTTCATGTGGCTGGGGCAGTGTGTCAGGTGCCCAGCGGAGGATGAGAGCCTGTGATTATATGGCCACTCTACAGGATTTTATCTGGGGATATGAGGCTGCCTGCTTGCAAGTACAGTCAGGAGAGTGGGTTGCACCCACCGGTGTGCTGGGCTCAGCTGTCCCTATGAGTTTGCCTCCGCAGGGTCCTGTATAGAGCTGTGTGCTGGTGGGAGAATGGGGGGGGGGGGGGACGACCCTGTGGATTGCCTTTCAAGGGTGTATTAGGAGAGACTCTCCCCAAGCAGGAAGAACTCCCAGCTAGCAGGTCAGTTCCACTCTTCCCAAGCTGAGTTGAACTCCCGTCAGTCCCTTGCTCCTGGCAAGGATAGGGCAGCAGATGGGAGGATGGGGGACTCTTACCCAGAGGGAAATGGAATATGGGAAAGCAGGCAAGTTCCTTCACTGCTTCAGTCTCCTAAGCCAGGCTAGCATCTCTGGGGCTGGGACTGAGGCCAGGGCTGGGGGTGGGCTGGGCCTGATAGGGGCTGTGAATAGAAGGCCCTCCACTGGAGAAGCCACTCTCTGCCCTCCAACAGGTTCTGGAGATGCGCTCCTCCCTCTGCCCTGGTCCCTGTACACCAGGCTATGGATCCTGAGACAAAGGGCCAAGTTGGGGAGAGGGTGGAGTGGGAGACAGAAACTAGTTGGGTGGGGGGCTGCAGTACCTCCTCCTTCATTGTCACCAGCCTGGGAAACCTGGGCTGAGCTGGGCCACTACAGCCTGTAGCCCCTCTAGGGGCGGATTCTCCTCCTGCCTCATAAATTATGCCAGTCCAGCCTCCAGCCGGCCGTGACCATGAACGCCAGCGGGAAAGGGGGAACTAGCGGCAGCAGCCAGAAACTCTTCCGCCCACCAATCAAAGCCATGCTCCAAGCCCCTTTCGCAGCCTGGTGGGTCCCCCCGGAGGGCCAGGTGGGGGCCCCTAGAGTGACCATGGAATCTGAGGCTGCATCTGCTTAGCCCTCAATTCACGGCTTGTGGTTCTGGTCTGCAGCACCGAGGGGGCAGGAAGAGAGGATGGCAGCACACCCGTGAGTGTGAGCGAACAGGCTGGCAGGCTTGGGAGAGGGCAGGGGACCAGGAGACACTCGGACAGTCTGCCCTAGAGAGGACATAAGGTTGTGATCTCCTGTCTGCAGCCAGGTCTGCCAACCGTTCATGCTTCCGCCTGCGCTGCCATCCAGGCCTGGAGGAGCAAGACACCCTGGACATGGGTATTGCTGACCATTCTGTCCTTCCAAACTGCGCTTCCTCCTGGATCCCCCCACTTCCTCCTGCCCTCCCAGAGCCGCCCTGTCCCCCTCTACTCTCTTTAATGACCTCTACTCTTGCTCCCTCCTGTCAGCGGCTCCTAATCCCAACAGCGAGTTCCTGGAGTCTGTTCCACTGTCCCTACCCTCGCTTACTCCTGCAGGTGGACAAGATCACAGAGGGAAAGTGGTGGGAGCAGGGTCTCAGCCTCAGGCTGCCTCAAACCAACCCTTCCCGGATGCCTCCGCTTGCCCTGTCTGTCCCTGGCCTGAGCTGTGGGCTTTCTGTCTCCCTGGCCGGGCTCTTCCCTTCTCTCTGGGGCCTGGCAGGACCTGCTGGGGGTGTGTGAGAGGGGAACACGAAGAAAACAGACAAGAGGACGTCCAGAGAGGGCCTGCCAGAGACTTCTGGCCTTCTAAGCGGGGAGCCTGTGTCCCAGGCAGTGCCCCCTCTTGCTCTCTGCCAGAGACGGGCTCAGTCTGGGGCTGGCTCCCTTGTCTTGGCTCCCCTAAAAGAAAGAGAGAGCTTGCTCCCTCAACAGAAGTCTCTTCTTTTTCATCCTCCGGTTCTGAAACCAGATCTTGACCTGCTGGTCACTAAGATTCAAGCGGTCTGAGAGTTCCCTCCGGCGCTGCCGCGTGATGAACTCGTTCACGAGAAACTCGCCCTCCAGCTCCGCCAGCTGCAGCTTCGAGTAGGGCTTGCGCTTCTTCCGCGAGCGGCTGTGGATCGGGTACCAGGGCGTGCCTGGGTGGAAACGAACCGGGAGCGGGGGTTGGCCAGGAGACCGAGAGGGGACAGGCTCAGAGCCCTTGGCTCCTTTCCTAATCCTCGTCACCTTGGCCTCATGCCCGCCCCAAGCCCTTCCTCTCCTGGTCCCTCTCTTCTCTGCAGAGCCCACCCCTCCCAACTCCCACCCCTCGCCATTTTCCTTCTCCTCTTTTACTTCTTTTCCTCTTTCATTTCTTTTCCTTGCTTTGCCAACTCTATCTGCCACTGCAGTATCCCTGAGCCTTCTATGTTCCTCTTCCCTCCTTCTTCCCAAACCTCTTCTCCAGGATATGCTGGTCCCTTCCTCTCACATCTTCCGGGATGGGGTCCCTGATCAGTTAGAACAGACACGAGCGAGTGGCGAGAGTTAAACTATCCACTGGCGAAAACATGCAGGTAACGGAGGCTGTGGGAGGCTCAGGAGGAGCAGGGACCCAGCTCTGGGACTCACCTTCCCACCCCTCAAGCCCGGGGAAGCCTCGGTCAAGAATTTCCCTCCTCCCGAGCTCCCTGCCCACTCCAGCCGCGGGCTAAAGTAGAAGGGAATCACTTCAGCTCTTTTATGGGGATATTTACATGTTTATAGGTCTCCCCAACCCCCACTTCTTTTTAAAAAGAAGCGCTTCCTCACCACACATTCTGACACCCCAGGCGGCCCTGGCTCGGCCCGACCCCGCCCGCCCCGTCAGACGTCCCGCCCCAGTGCGTCTCCGGAGCGGGCCGGGGTGCTTACCGCTGGCCGCGAGCCCGCCGCCGGGGTTTAGGGGTGACACCAAGGCGCCGGGGTCGCCCGCGCCGGCACCCTTGTTGCCCTCGTTGAGCAGGGACGAGCTGGAGTCGGATTCCAGGGACTGGCACGAGGGCGGGTCGTGCGGGGGTCCGGCCCCGCCGTCGCCGCCGCCGCCGCCGGCCGCGTAGTCGTACTTGAACCCGAGCGCGGGCGGCCCAGCCGGCTCCAGCGGCAGGAGCGCGGCCCCGGGTCCCACGCCCGGGCCCGGGTCGCGCCCGCGCTCCTCCCGCTTCAGGCCGCCGCCCTCGGCGCACGGCTCGCGGTAGTAGCCCTTGCTGTCCTCAACGCGCGCCAGCTCGCACGTGCGGCCGAAGGGCGGGTTGAGCGACACGGGGCTGCCGAGGTAGGGCTGCGGGTAGCCATTGCACGGCTCCGCCGACGGCCAGGGCAGCGAGCACACGTTGTCGCGGCGCGGGTAGGACAGCGAAGGCAGCCCGGGCAGCTGAGCGCCGGACGCGCGGAAATTGGGGAAGTAGAAGGTGTCTCCCGTGTGGATGTTCACCAGCGGCCCCACAAACCCGGGATTCAGGAGATTATGCTCTCCCATTTCCGCGGGGCCCGACCGGCGGCTTCTACTTTATTGCTATCTGACATTAAACATAGTTAAACCTGCACCGGCCACCCATTGGCCGTCCAGCTCACGTGGGCACCGCCGCCAGAGGGATGGGTGGGGACAGCGGATCCCCCCCACCCCACCCCGCACCAATTCCAACATCCCCCTTCCCCAATTGGGGGGGGGGGGAGATAGCGAAACGCGGGGACAGATTTATTCGCTGGCTTCTAGTTTTTTAAAGAAATCCTATAAAACCTAACGCAGAGAGTGAGGCAATCGCCGGACGCGGGGCGAGGGGGAAACAGCCACGCCAAAAAATGCCCGCACATCCACACCACTGCACCCCGCACCCCTCCCTCCCCCCAGATGTATTCTCTTCTCACCAACAGCTGGCCCGGCACAGCCCGGCCCTCTTTAATTAGCTCCTTTATTAACTAAAACCGTTGGAATTTACAATATCTCCCCAATAAATTACTATTAGATATTGTGTCATATAAAGTTTACTGGCTGTTTAAGGAGACGGATGAGCCCTTTGGCTCGGGGTTTATTTACAGTAGTGGCGAGTGGGGGCAAAGGCAGGTTTTCCTGCCGCTGTCTCTCTCAGCCCTTGGCTGCTGAGCTTTTCTTCTTCAGCTGTTCTCCTCGGGAATTTGGGGCTCTTTCCTCCAGGAAGGACTCAGGGAGAATTATTAATGTAGGGTCTCCCCCAAGCTGGGAGCCACCCTACCCTCACACTTCCCTCAGCCTGTAGAGAAAGATGCGGGGGAGGCAGGAAAAGAAGGCACCGGCTCTGGGTGAACCTGCCTACCTGCTCTTGGGAATCTGGGGGCTTGGGCTGCTCTTTTCTGTGATTCTGCGGGTCACAGGGGCTTCTGGGGGAATCTCACAGATTCTGTGCAGCTAAAGTCTCTGGGTCCCTAGCAGAGCTTTGTTGGCCTGGGAAGCTCCTGACTCCCACTGTGAGAAGATATTGGCACCCCAAAACTGGCCCACCCTCCCCTCGGGACACTCAGATAGCGGTGCTGAGGCCACTGGGTGTGCTGGGAGCGAGGGAAAGGACTCCAAAGAGCCATCCTGTTGGGTTATGTGTATGGTGCGAGCCTCAGCAGCTCCTTCCGGAAAAGGCTGAGTACCCAACGCTGGCCATTGGTGAGACTCATCAACGTAGGGAAATCACAAACCCTTTTCAACTAAGTCCGCAGCACACAGCCCAATGGATTAAAAAGGAGAATAAAAAACCCAACACACACACACACACACACACACACACACACACACACACACACAATACAAAAACCTTCAGAAGTGGGTGTATTCTATCAGAGCCTAGTAGACAAATAGTCGAATTTCTATGTGATTATTACAGGCTCCTATCCAATGCCCAGCTCTAGTAATACGAGGTGAGATAAATAGTTCAGGAAACATCTAAATATGAGAAAACACCAGAAGATTTAGAGAAAATTAGAGACTAAGAGACTCGGAGAGAATATGGGAGAGGGAAAAAAAAAAAAAAAACAACCCATGGAGGTGAAAGTTAAATGTCTGAGCAAAAGCCGAAGCAGACCGACCGAAGCAAAAAAATACCATCTCCCTCTTTTTCTCTCTCTCTTTTCTGCACGACGCAGCGAGAGAAACGCAGATTCTTAGAATTCCACAGCTCCGGGCGATTTCATATCCCAAACCATAGCTGCTCACTCCCACAGAAATGCGTCCGTGCAGGCGTCGCCCAGCCGGCTCGCCGGCCGCAGTTAGAAGCTCCGCGTCTGCACCTTCCCCGCCCTAACCCGCCAGGCTGCCTCTCCAGCCACCCCTCCCCCACCCCACCCTACCCCCACCCAGGAGCCTTTGGGGACCCAACTTGCCTAACCGAGACTAAGCAGTGGGATGCCAGCCTGGCGCAATCACCTCCCGTCAGAACCGCAGGAACCGGGTGCCAAACAGTGGGCAAGAGACCCGCCTGGACTGGGCTTGCTGTGCCCAAGACTGATTAAAGGGCCGTGGCCGCAGAGAGGAGCATCCCTCTGCTGCACATCCCACGTCACAGCACCCCCAACGTATTATTTATGCCTCCTTCTCAGGATGCATTAATGAGCGCCACAGAAATTGTAATTTTTTAAAAATAATTTATCTGGGGGTTATTTTGGTCATAAAACGAAACAAGGTGTGACTTTAATATTGTCGCGGTTTTCAATCAGAACCTGGCGGCGGCGGCGAGGTCTGCAGGCCTGGGCTCACAGCCGCTATTGTTGGTGGGAGAAATGGCGAGCTGAGCTTTGCGGAATAATCTCCAGTTCCTGTGAGGCTTCTCCCCCTTCTCTTTTCCCTCCCAGAGGATCGCAGTCTCCTGGAAGGCGGACCCGGGAGGAAGATCTCAGCCTTCCCCTAGTCCTCCTGAGCTTGGAAATATCGGGTCTAGGAGCCTAGACCTCTGCTTGCTGCCCTCGGGCCGGCCGCCCAGCACACAGAGCTGCGGCCACAGGGCGGCAGATGCAACGCCAGGGAAATGAGGATGGAGTGGAGGCTTCCTTCACTCGCAGTTTCTATCAGACTGATTTGACCCTATCAAAAAGCCATTTTCCCAGGTTTTGGACTCTGTGGGCACTGACACATGCTTAAACCCCTTTTCTTCCGAGCTTCGGACCCCTAGTCCTCTCAGGGAGAGCTACCAAGAATCATCATAAAAATTCGCACCTCCATTGTCCTGTTCTGGGGACTCAGAGTGAACCTAGGGGTTTGCAGGGTCGCAGCGAGGACCCAGGCAACAGAAAGCGGTCAGCCTCCCTTTGCACGGAGCGAGGTTCAGTTCGCCTGTGAGACCCCGCCGCACGCAGCTCAGCGCCCCTTCCCTGACCACCTTCAGACAGACAGCCCCCGGAGCGCCGCTCTCAGCCTGGGTCCCCGGGGCCGGCGGGAGGCTCGGGTCTAGACCGCGGGTTTAACCCGCTCGCACTTCGCAGCCGCCAGCAAAACTATCATTGGCCGGGGACCCAAGCTCCGGAACCGCGGGGCGATCTGAACGTCCACTCTCCGGCACATTCATCAAACCACAGGGTTAGAGGAGACGACCTGCTTGCCAGCGTCTGAGCCGCGGGTTCCGGCTGCAGCTGGTCTTGGCTCAACCGTGCCCCTCTCATTAACTCAGGGGTTAATTAAAACCGAAGGCGGGGATGTGGTCCAAGGCTTTCAGTCAAGACCCGCGGCAGCCCTCGTGCTTCCGCGCATCCACCGGCTCCTCTCCCGCGCCTCCTCTGTCTGAGCCTCCTCGGTCTGAGCCTCCACCCCTCCCGCATCTCCTAGGCCTTCTCGCGGGGCCTCGAGTCGCTGCCGCCGCTGAGCCAGGAGAAAGGGGTTAATGACAAAATCTACGCTGTTCTGGTGGCAGGTCAGAGCGGCCGCGTAGGCCACCGCGGAGCAGCTGTGTTTGGGCTTCCGGGGTCGGAGTGATTCAGCGCCGCGGTGCCCTCCTCTCCCCTGTCAGGGGCGAGGCCACGACGGCCCGGTTCAAGGTCACTGTCTAGTTTGCGGAAAGCGGCTCTGCCGCATATGCAAATGAGGCAGGACTCGGGGCCAGGAAAGAGATAGGAGTAGGGACTGAGCAGGCAGGGAGAGGGGAGATGAAAAGCTGAAAAGCGGCGAATGTGGAAGGCTTGGGCCCTGACCCCTCAATCCTCGCTGTTTCACCCCTTTAGGGCAGTTGGGTTTGCAACAGGAACTTGGTCGGGTCCAGACTAGATGAGGTCAAGGAAGGGGGCTCAGTCTCCTCTGTTTTTGCTTCACTCGCTCCTCCAGAGGTCAGAGCCCTCTTGGTTCCCAGGTCTTCCTCTGGGAGCCTGGGACTTAAAAAATAAATTTGGGAGGCCCCTTCTCTAGGTATTGCCTTCTAAGGACTTACAGCCTGGAGGTGGGGGCTTTAGAGAAACCCTGGGTGAGGGGGCCAGTCAGGTTTTTAGGCTCAAGCAGCCTGGGATCAGCAGCGTCCTTCTATCCTCCGATCCTGCGGCTCCTCTGAGCTCCCTCCCACCGCAAGACGCCAGCCCGGTGGCCGCTCAGGAAACGGGGAAGGGGTGGGGAGTCCCGGCGGGGACATCTGGGGAGCCATCTCTCCACCTTTCACCCGAGCATCCCTAAACGAGCCATTTTTCCCCATTCTCTGTCTCTCCAGCGAGTTAATAGTTAAATGGTTGCGTGGCTCTGACATTTTCCACCTCCGCCAGCAGAGGATCTCCTCCGCCTAGTGAATTACTACTGAGTGTCAAGAAAGGTGTGGGACCGAGTTAAAAAGCACACAACAAAACACCTCCACCAAACGCCACACCCACAGCCGCCTGCCAGGGGGCCCGTTCTCCGCAAACCTCGGAGCTCCATGTGGGGTGAGGACTGCCCCCAGAGCCCCCTGCCCCCCAGCCAGCGGCTGGCTGTGACCCGCTCCGTCCAGGCCTCGCTTTGGGAAGCGGCTGAGCTCTGCCTGGGGTCTGTTCTGCCCAGCGACCCAAACGCTTCCCAAAGCCAAGCCCCCCGCGCGGGGTGGGCAGCGCGGGCGGATGGGAGTAGGGGCAGCCGGCCCAGGAGACTGAGGGTGGTGGGAGGACGAACCGTTAACCCCGAGGGTGGCTGGGCCGGAAGAGCGGGGTCCACTTACCTTTGGAGATGGAAGAGGTTCGGAAGGGTGCGGGGCGGGGGGGGGTTCTCAGCTTCAGACACCCTCTCCCCCTTCCCCAAGACCCGCTGCGGGCCCAGCCGAGGTATCGGAGGAGGGCGGGGCGGAGGCGGAGGGAGCGGCCGGCGGTAGGCGCGCGGGAGCTGAGCTGCAGAGCATCTCTGGGGAGGCCGCCTTTTATGGTCGTTATTAGCGCCCCTGTCTAGACTGAAGACGACACCTCCTCTGCGTGTAAACAGAGGCGGCGGGCTCCGGCGGGAAGGGGGATGGCGCGTCGAGGGAGCTCGCGGCCCTCCCCTTCTCCGGCCACCGGAAGATCAAGGCCTTTCCCCCCTCC